GCCGAGAAGCCACTGCCATGAAGTTCTGAAGGCAAAAATTTATGATGCACTGGAGAACCCAGGATGTTAGAGATGTCTGAACTATGGGACATCTACTGGGGAAAGCTATAGGTATAGACTAGATCTGGCCTAAGACAGAGGCTGTATGTGTTGAAGGTGGAAGATCTGAAGGACTGGGCTACCTATGCTCTTTGGAGCCCAGATGATATCATCTTAGCCCCAAGAACACACCTGTGTGCCTATGCGGGCTGCCTAAGAGTGTAAGCTGGAAGGCAAGAGAACTGCAATCTGGCACTTTTACAGTTCATTAGAAGACACCTTATGCTCCTATAACAACAGTCTAGGAAACTGAAGTGGTGAGGGATGCTGCCCAGTCAAAAAGACATAGTTAAAAGATGGCACAGCTGGTCTCACCATGAACTCAAAGCCTCATCTGCTTCTGATCTCTCTTGCTTCTCCACCACTACCCTCAAATATCAGCACTTGGAAAGTGATTCTAGATCCAGCCACCATGGCATACAGCTGTGGCCAAGACGACCAGGCTATAGCTCAAGCTGTCAGCATCGCCCATGAGCTACTAGATTTGCAAGCATGAAAAGATACAAGATTAAGTGGGTCATAGAGGTTTGTTCCATGGCTCCAGAGAGCCACTGAAACCAGGCACTGTGTAGCAGGAGCAGGGTTCCCACAGAGTCCCCGAGAGGCTACTGAATGAAGCTATGAAGATAAAGCCTATGGATGCAGTGGAAAACCTGGGATGTTGCACATGCCAGTCAGCCTGCCAGCTTTCCCACAGGCACTTTTTGACAGACAGCATGCTCCTTCATTCAGAGGCAAACACACCCTCAGAGTTATGGCATGACATAATGTGAACCGAGGTCACATAACTAGTTGAACAGCAGGCCTAGGGTGGCTGAATGGGCAAGCCTGGGCTATCACATCTTCCTCCATACTGTTTAGAACAGTTCCCTCCAGGGCATTGTCACCACTCTGCATGACTGAGCCCCCCGCCCCCCCCCCACACACCTTTTTAAAAATCTACTTTCATAGCACAACAACTTTGCTATTTTGTAGTTCCTTACCAGCTCTTGACCGTCCCATGCTGGGTGATTCTGGTCGAGTGTTCCTCTAAGTTTTTATACCTATTAGTGGCAGACAGGGCTCCTGCTGTTTGGGGTATAATAAAGTGAGCATCTAAATAGACTGTCCCTTAGCTGCTCCCCAATGCAGGGTCTTCATGTGTATTCATGTCGAGGCACTACAGAACCCCTGGCCCTGGGTTGGTTGGATTCTGCCTGTTTGCTGGGTCCTGGGCAAGGTCTTAACTTCTGAGACATCACTAAACCACTGTTGACTCTTTGCTTGCCTGGTTACCAGCAGCATCCTCATCAGGAATCCTGGGAAGGAGAAGGGCCCCTTTAAGTTGTGTGTGTCCCCTGCCGTTGCTGTAGCATTCTGTTATGACATGAGAGTCTGTACTGAATACCCAGAATTTGCAGTGTGGAGGCATTCGGAGGCAGGGTCCCTCACTTCTCCCATCTCTTTCAGGAAACCTGCCCTGGTCCCCCAAGTCTCTAGAGGCCTACTCCAACTTACGAGAACCACAGACTAGTGAGGAGGGTCACCTTTCTGGATCTGCTGAGGTCACCTATCCAGAAACAAAAGCTGCCCCTACACTTCCGTGTCCCCCAAGAAGCAACTTACGTCTTGAGAAATGCCCTCCAGGGTCTGCACACAAGGCAAGCACATGGGTAGGCTGTTGCAAGGAGGCACCCAGCCCAGAGAGGCTCTGGGTGGGCTCTTTCAGAGAATGGGTAGGGAAAGAGCCTGGGCATCACTGAGGACTCAGAGCACTATAGATGCCGGCCTCTCTAGGCAGCTGGTTCTTGACTGTAACCATGCTTAGCCCTTACTTCCTCCCTCTAGCCAACCACTTTTCTTCTCTCATTTCTATTGCAACAGGTAGCCCATGGCCAGGCACACAGAACATACCATAGAATCTAACTTCCTGATAGATATAAACCCAATAAGCAGCAGACACACTTAAGCGTACCAAGAGTAAGGAATTGACTTCCCAACCCTCCATGCTTCAATGGTGACGTTTAAACATGCCATCAGAAGCATCGGCTTCATTCAGAGGCTTCAATCATGACCGAGCAGGAACACAAAAACTCAGATTATTGATGGTCCTTCCTGGGACCCTAGTGGGTGTTGCTATTCAGCAGGGCAATGAGGCAGCATGAAGCAGCCTTACCACACTGTTCCCAAACCCTCAGTGCTTTGTATATTATATCACATTTCCTACAGTCAAGTAAGTCTCAAGAGGTCTGGATGGCTGGGCTCAAGACGGGAGGGATCTGTCTACAAGGACCCTGATGACTGTAGGCATTGAGTGATGGCTGAGTGACATGCCCTCCCTTCAGTGTGGCCTTGGGGTTTAGCCTTGCTGGGGTCAGGGACCAGGGCAAGTTTCATACCTTCCTTTAACTACAGGTAATGATATCCCCCTAGGGATCCACAGCTATAGGAAAGTATGAAATTACTTTCCTCTAGGGAAATGCACCCCAGAGGGGTGAGAATTGGGGACAGCTATGGATAATGATTAGGACTGTAAAAGCAAGGCAGTTTGACACCACTGAACTTCCTTAGTAGATGGAAAGATACTTTCGTCAAACCACAAACCAGTCTAGAACACACTTTCTGCTTATACCCTCCTAAGATGTTAAGAGAGGGTTCAAACTCTAACTGTCCCAGGACGTTCAACAGTGCTTCTCCAGCCCACAACCCTCAGTGAAACCCTTTCTCCGGCTCTCTGAGACGGTG